AGTGTTCGAAGGTTTTGTGGGGTCTTGGGTGGGTGTTAAACCCTAAACCCTAAACCCTAAACCCTAAACCCTAAACCCTAAACCCTAAACCCTAAACCCTGAGCTTGTCGGGATGGGGCTTGTAGTTTCTTCGCGTTGGGGCTTACAATTGCTGCCTGGTGGTTCTAAGCTTTGCTTGTTAAAGGTCTGTGTTCCCTAAACCCTAGTACCTCCCCCTAAACCCTAAACCCTAAACCCTAAACCCTAAACCCTAAACCCCAAACCCGAAACCCTAAACCCTAAACCCCAAAACTTGCAAGAGGTTTTTGAGGGGTGTTCCCTAATGCCCGCAAAGGCCAGGGCTCGTGATGTCAGGATTCCCTAAACCCTAAACCCTAAACCCTAAACCCTAAACCCTAAACCCTAAACCCTAAACCCTATATGGTTTTGCAAGGACAGAGTTGGATTCCAGAGGCCTCTATAGTGATTGGGGTTTCTAGGGTTTGTGTGTGCGCAATTGTCAGCTCAGTGGAGTGGTTAGGGTTTAGGGTTTAGGGTTTAGGGGTTAGGGTTCTCATGCAAATGGAGGCGTTTAGGGGGGTTTGGAGAAGGTGTATCTAGAGGATTGAAGTTTGGCAGTTTAAACTCGAGGGCTTCGGGAATACAAGGATTCGAAGGTTTCGAAACCCTAAACCCTAAACCCTAAGCCCTAAACCCTAAACCCTAAACCCTACAACCTAAGCAGTTGGGACTCACGGGTTCGGGAATTTGGGTCGTGGTAATGCTTTCAGGTTCCAGCGCCTGAGAGTTCTAGAGCTTTGCGGCTCGAGGGTCTTTCAGGCTTAGGGCTTTCAAACCCTAAACCCTTAACCCTAAACCCTAAGCCCTAAACCCTAGGATTGAGGTTGAGAGCCGCCAGGCAGTTTCGGAGGGGCGCCTGGGAGCATGCAGTGTGGGCAGTAGTTGGGCACTTGCCAGGATCAACCCTAAACCCTAAACCCTAAACCCTAAACCCTAAACCCTAAACCCCAAACCCGAAACCCTAAACCCTAAACCCCAAAACTTGCAAGAGGTTTTTGAGGGGTGCTCCCTAATGCCCGCAAAGGCCAGGGCTCGTGATGTCAGGATTCCCTAAACCCTAAACCCTAAACCCTAAACCCTAAACCCTAAACCCTAAACCCTATATGGTTTTGCAAGGACAGAGTTGGATTCCAGAGGCCTCTATAGTGATTGGGGTTTCTAGGGTTTGTGTGTGCGCAATTGTCAGCTCAGTGGAGTGGTTAGGGTTTAGGGTTTAGGGTTTAGGGGTTAGGGTTCTCATGCAAATGGAGGCGTTTAGGGGGGTTTGGAGAAGGTGTATCTAGAGGATTGAAGTTTGGCAGTTTAAACTCGAGGGCTTCGGGAATACAAGGATTCGAAGGTTTCGAAACCCTAAACCCTAAACCCTAAGCCCTAAACCCTAAACCCTAAACCCTACAACCTAAGCAGTTGGGACTCACGGGTTCGGGAATTTGGGTCGTGGTAATGCTTTCAGGTTCCAGCGCCTGAGAGTTCTAGAGCTTTGCGGCTCGAGGGTCTTTCAGGCTTAGGGCTTTCAAACCCTAAACCCTTAACCCTAAACCCTAAGCCCTAAACCCTAGGATTGAGGTTGAGAGCCGCCAGGCAGTTTCGGAGGGGCGCCTGGGAGCATGCAGTGTGGGCAGTAGTTGGGCACTTGCCAGGATCAGTCTCTGCGAGCGGGATGGACACCCAAAACACCAGCCTCCTAAACACCAAGCCCTAAACCCTAAACCCTAAACCCTGAACCCGAAACCCTAAACCGTAAACCCGAAAACCCTAAACCCTACACCCCTCAGGGGCCCTGGCTGCAGTCGCTTCAGCGCGGATTGCGAGAGTTCAAGCTGCTCTTTGGTGTCCGCAAGCTGCGTCTGCACACCGCGAGCTATGTGGGGGCTATGGTGCCCCAAAGCCTAAACCCTAAACCCTAAACCCTAAAACCTAAACCCTAAACCCTAAACCCTCAACCCCAAAACCCTGGTGAGGGAGGCCTGCACCCCCACAACAAAAAGGGTTTCGGGATTACCCGAGGGTTTCAAGTTTGCAAATAATACCTATATTGGTGTCCAAAGTCGATAAAGAAGGGCCCTAGTGTTAGGTTTTAGGCTTTGGGGACGTTCGACTTAGTTAGTTGTGATGGACCCGCATATGACTTGTTGCTCAACTCTTGCACAGGCTCTTCTGAGACAGAGGCCCGGACTTTCTAGGCATTTGATTGGGATGAAGAAAAGAATCCAACTCCGCATGCAATCTAGATAGCCTAAACCCTGAACCCTAAACCCTAGGAATAAAAAGGCTACCCAGAAACCCTAAACCCTAAACCCTAAACCCTAAACCCTAAACCCTAAACCCCAAGAATAAAAAGGCTAGCTTTCTGGGTAAACGGTGTTTGCAAGGGAACCCATGGCCTGACAAAAGACTAAGCGTCCTAGCAACAATGCCTGTGGATAGCCCTGTGAACCCTGAGGCCTAAAACCCGAACCCCCCCCCCCCCACTTTAAAACCCTAACCCCAACCCCCCCCCCCCCCCCCCCCTAACTTTTCCTCTAGCAGTAAAGTACACCCTGAAGCTTAAACACTGAAATCTAAACTCTACACCTCCTGAAGCCTAAGTCCACCCAAAACCCTGAAGTTCAAAAAAAAACGAACCCCAAACCCGCCATGCCTGTGCGCTGTCCAACTGTTGCTTGTGCTCGGCTAGCTCCTTGGCCCCAAAACATGCCGAGTTAAAGCGTGCGGGGATGCGGTATTGAGATTGAGTTCTGAGGCTTACTTACTTCTCGGATGGCAACGGAATAAGAAAAGTTAAGCTTCAGAATTCCTACATCGGAACCCTGAAACGTTTGCGGTTTAGGGTGTAGGGCCGAAGGCTAAGTGCTTAGGGACGAGGGGTTTCGCCGTATGGAGTTTATCGGGTGTTTATACTGTTTCCAGGGCTCATAGGATTGAGTGGGGCCTTGCGCTGACAAGCGTGCAGGTGATGAAGGATGATGATACAAGCGCCTTATAGGGTTGCAAGGGCTCTAAGGGTTCTAAGGATTCTCAGGGCTCTAAGGATTCTCAGGGCTCTACGGGTTTAGGGTTTAGGGTTTCGGGTTTCGGGTTTAGGGTTTCGGGTTTAGGGTTTCGGGTTTAGGGTTAGGGTTTAGGGGTGTCTAAGGTGTCTAAGGGTTCTGAGGCTTCTAAGGCTTTAGGTTCTTGACCCAAGTTCTGAACAAGTAGATGCCGGGGTGCCGCCACGACGGAGGAGGAGTCCGAGCCGGCCTTGTAACTGCGAAGCCCCAAAACCCTAAACCCTAAACCCTAACCCTAAACCCTAAACCCCAAAGCCTAAACCCTAAACCCTAAACCCTAAACCCCAAACCCTTCAAGTGACCTCCGGAGAGAAAGCTCCGACCTCCCTGGCTTGCCCTCGCGACCTGCCGCAGGCCTCAAGCTTGCACGGCTTGAGTGCCCAAGCCTTTGAAACCCTTCAAACGCTTGAACCCTAAACCCTAAACCCTAAACCCTAAACCCTAAGCCCCAAACCCCTAAACCCTAGCCCTAAACCCTCAACCCTAAACCCTAAACCCTAAACCCTAAACCCCTAAACCCCTAAACCCCTAAACCCTAGCCCTAAACCCCTAAACCCCTAAACCCTAGCCCTAAACCCTAAACCCTAAACCCTAAACCCTAAACACTAAACCCTAAACCCTGTTTCCCTAATCCCTAAAAGGGTTCTAAACCCTAAACTGGCCGTAAACCGGAACTCTTAAAACCCTTGAAACGCTTGAAACCTCAAACTGTCCCGAAACCTCAGGAGTTGGAAGCATCCCGGCCTAAGCTCAGGTGTTCTACGTAAGGTTCGATCCTGTGGAGGAGCCCCACATCACAATACCACAAGTCAAGCCCTCAACCCCAAACCTTACGACCCAACACCAACTTTAAACACTATAGCCTGCATCAAGAGCGTCCGCATGCGAAAACAACGTGTGACAGCAGCACGACCCAGTGAAGAAGTATCATTCACACGTCGACCAGGTGAATGCGTGCAGAACTTCGACGGTATGGCAAAAGCTTCTGAAGCCAAAGCTGCGCGCAGGAGCCCTGAACCCTGATCCCTACACCCACTCTGTACCCTAGAGAGCTCCTAAACCCTCGCCCGAATCCCCAAACCCTAAACTCTCAACCCCTGACAACCCCTAAACCCTCAACCCCAAAACCCTCAACCCCGAAACGCTAAACCCTGAACCCAAAACCCTCAACCCTAACCCCTAAACCGCTACAAGCTCTACAAACCCTGAACCCGAAACCCTCAACCCTTATTCCCCGAAACCCCGAAACCCCCAAACCCTCAACCCTAAACCCCTAAACCCTAGCCCTAAACCCTAAACCCTAAACCCTATTCTCCTAGTCCCCAGTCGCCTTGGAGATCTGCTCGCGGAGCTCAGCCAGTTCCTTTTTTGTGCTGGGCATGCCCCGCAAAAAAAAAGTTTTTGGAAAGCTGAGGGCTTGGGTTGGCTTAGGGTTTAGGGTTTAGGGTTTAGGGTTTAGGGTTTAGGGTTTAGGGTTTAGGGTTCAGGGTTCAGGGTTTAGGGTTTAGGGTTTAGGGTTTAGGGCTTAGGGTTTGGGGTTTAGGTAGTAGGGTTTATAGGTTTCGGGTTGAGGTACTCGGGGGTCCCAAAGTGACTCCTTGAGCGAAAAGAATATCCCGCGACTGTGGTAGATACAGCTTGAGTTCTATCAGGGAACTAGAGGAGGGACCCTATAAGGGACCTTGGGGGTTTGTTAGGGTTTAGGGTTTAGTGTTTAGGGTATAGGGTATAGGGTTTAGGTTAGGGTTTAGGGTTTAGGGTTTAGGGTTTAGGGTTTGGGGTTTAGGGTTTAGGGTTTAGGGTTTAGGGTTTACAAGATTCAGGGTCCCTTGTAGGGGTTCGGCCATTTCTTTCTGCTTTTCCGCCTGCGAGGCTCTCTCAGCACCCAATCTATCGCGGCGCTGCCCTCACTCCCTTCGCCCTTTGCTCCGCCTCCTTCAAGTGTTCTGTCGCTTCCGTTCCCGCTCCCGGATGCTCTCCAGCTTCGCCACGGCCTACCCAAAACAGGACTTCGCATGGGCAACAAGAAGTGGAGGTTTCCGCACTCCCCACACCTCGGCATCATCCCGCTCCTTGAGGGTGTGACATAGGTCGAAACATCGAGCGGTCCTGCGTGGGGTGCCTTCTCCCACTGCACCGCCTTGGCAAGAAGCCTTTTTTCCTCCTCCGTGCGCTTGTTTGCGGCTGCCTTCGCCTGGCGAGCAGTTCGCGCCACCTTCCGGTCGGCTGCTTCGGACTCCTTGCCCAGCGTAAACATTAAAACAAGCAATATTCAGCTCCAACCTGAGAAGTGGCAAGTCGTTGCCGAGGCGAAGCTGCCCTGGGCATCCCTTATTGATCCTAATCAATAAAGATTTTATCTTATTGATTCAGGGTTTTTTCAATATCTTATATTGATTTTCATGGTGCGGTAATCAATATACATAATCAATAGAAAAATATACATAATCAATAGAAAACAGTATTTAAAAAAAACAGAGCCAAAATGAATATATTTACATATGAAAACTATCTTCCAAATCAATAGCAAAACTCCTGAAAACGACAGCTTAGACCCTTAAATACCAGGACAAAGTCTGCAAACCTACCTCAACCTGGCTGGCTGGCTTGGCTGGATGGCTGAATTGGGTTGGCCAGTTGGTTGGTGGGTTGGTTGGGTTTGCTGGTTGGTTGCTTGCTTGCCTGCTTGGTTGGTTGGTTGGCTGGTTGGCTGGCTGGCTGGTTGGGTTGGTTGGTTGGTTGGTTGGTTGGGTTGGTGGGTTGGTTGGTTGGTTGGTTGGCTGGCTGGTTGGGCTGGCTGGTTGGTTGGGTTGGTGGGTTGGTTGGTTGGTTGGTTGGTTTGTTGGTTGGTTGGGTTGGCTTCCGTGTCGTGTGCTTGCTAACGTTCATGTTTAAACTGCTTGTTTGTTTCTTTGGTTGCTTGTGTTTGTTTGCATGTTTGTTTGTTCGTTTGCTCCTTTGTTTTGTCGCTGGGGAAACCTGTGTTAGCTTCTAGGACTCAGGTACCTAGTACTGTGCTTCAACACTGCATTCCGCTCTTTCAGTGCCGTGAAGTCCCCCCAGAGCTGGACCAGGCCAGTCTTGGTGGGGGCGCCGACCGCCGCGCAGATGTGCGCCAGGATGGGCTCACTGAAAGCCTGCTGCATCGCATTGGTGTGGACGATGCTCAGGGCCATTTGCCAGTGATCCGTCTGCACCATGTGGTCCATGTCACGTGGCTTCATAGCCAGAACAGGCAAGTTCAGATCCTGGAGCACCCATTCCGGCCAGCCGGTGCGCGGGCTACTCCACACGTCTCGCCTTGCCACCGGCTGCGCTTGAACACGGCGGGAAGAAGCCCGCACATCGTTCGTGCTGCGAAGGGCTCCGCAGGAGATCTCGCCCAGGAGGGTTTAGGGTTTGGGGATTAGGGTCTGGGCTTATAGGGCAGCCTTAACACACCTACAAGCCCGAGTATGCGCAGCTGCAGGTCCTGCGCAGCGCGCTGGGCTTCGCTCGACTTTGTGGCGGCGTCCTCATGTGGCCCGACCTAAGCCCCCAAGCCCCGAACCCTAAGGTTTGAGACCCTAAACCCTAAACCCTAAGCCCCAAGCCCTCTAAACCCTAACCCTACACCCTAAGCCCCAAACCCCCTAAGCCCTAAACCCTAAACCCTACACCCTAAGCCCCAAACCCTCGAAACCCAAAGCCTTCTTAAGGCCAACGAGCCAGCGGATGCTAAAAACCCTCCCGGGACCAGCAAGAAGTCGGCTCGGTGCTTCTGGCTCCCTGCTGCCCTGACTCCACCCTTCAGTTGAGTTGGGGCTTAGGGCTTAGGGTTTAGGGTTTAGGGTTTAGGATTTAGGGTTTAGGGTTTAGGGTATAGGGGTTTAGCATTCAGGGTGGAGAGTTCGGGATTGCGGGTTTAGGTGGGAACAAGGTCCAAGGAGGACCGGGAGATGCATAAAATCGCCCTGAAAACAGCCCCAGAACTTCTCAACATAGGGTTTAGGGTTTAGGGTTTAGGGTTTAGGGTTTAGGGTTTAGGGTTCAGGACATCCTCAAATTGGACACAGGGGTAACCTAGGAATACAAAGAATGCCCTTTTAGTTTTAAAGGGGGTTAGAAGGGAACCTAAGCCCTTAAAGAAGGGAGCAAGGACCGATTGTGGGTCCTAGAAAACTTAGCCAACGACGGTTCAGGGCTTAGGATTTAGGGTTTAGGGTTTAGGGTTTATGGTTTCAGGCTTGGGGGTTTTAGTAGGGCTAAGGCTCAAAAGAAAGGACCCCTTGCGCGATCCCCAGCACAGGCAACCACCGGAATAGATGAAAGGCATACAGCAGCAGGTGCCCATATTCAAACCACACACACCTGCGCTGCCGCAGGGGCATAGGGCTCCACTTTAATGAATCAAAAGCCTCCTCTTCGAAGCCAAGAATTCAGGTGTTGAGTTCAGGGCTTGGGATTTAGAGTGAAGAACAGAATTAACAAGTATCCCCAGGCCTGACGCGAGGGGTCTGTGGTGTGTTCCAACAAACAGCTTGGTTCAGGGTTACACCCTGCCGACACCCTCATTGTCGCCAATGGCTCTTGCGTGCTTCAAGCCCACCTAGTGGCCTTAAAAATCCTAAACCTGCGTCGCCCTCAACCCTGAATCCGTCAATGAAACCCTCAATCCTAAATCCTACGGCCCAAGTTGTAAATTAGCAAAGCCCTCCGCCCCCCCCCCCCCCCCCCCCCAAAAAAAAAAAAATAATCATGAAAAAACAAACAGACACGCGCACAAACAAACAAAAAAACGTCCTGCTCCGCTTGCGAGGCCCTCTGTTCCATGGCCGCCGCCTCGAGGCTCGCTGCATGGGGTTGAGGGTTTAGGGTTCAGGGTTTAGGGTTCAGGGTTTAGGATTTAGGGTTTAGGGTTCAGGGTTTAGGGTAACACCCAAACCCTGAAAACTCCCTATACCATATACCCTGTACCCTAAACCCTGAACCCTAAACCATAGCCAGTGAACCCTAATCCCCCGAAAGCGCTAAACCCCTTAAACCCTAAGAATCTTAAACCTCAAGCCCTAAACCAGTGAAACCGAAAGCCCACAAGCCCGGATTCGGGCTTGCGCCCGCTTTTTGGCCGAGTTAGGGCTTAGGGTGTTACGGGGGTGATGTTCATGTACAGTGAAAGCTTGGCTTGATGTTTAAGGTTTGGGTTTTGGGATTAGGGTTTTGGGGTTCGGGTTTTGGGTTTTGGGGTTGAGGGTTAGTTTGTGGTGCTAACGCTCGAGGCATTGACCGCCTCACGGGGGGTTTAGAGTTCAGGCCCTAAACCCTAAACCCTAAAACCTATAAACCCTAGACCCTAAACCCTAAACCCTAAACCCCTAGACCCAGGGTTTCGGGGCTCACCCCGCGCCTGGTCTGCAAACATGGCCTTGTGCTGCTCTGCCTGTGACGGAGACTTAAACCCAAAGGCCTAAACCCCAAACCCCCCCCAGAGTAAGGGTTTAGGGGCGTTTAGGGTCCCCCCCAGACTAAGCCAGAACTACCAAACAAGAAGGCACATAGGGGGCCTTCATAATGAGAATAATTTGTTTTCTTTTCTTGGGGGGGAGGGGGGTAGTATATGCATAACTAGATATAGGGACAATGAAGGAATACTATTAGTAACTGTTCCGACCTCTTGCGAACCCTAAACCCCAAACCCCAAACCCCAAGCCCCAAACCCTAAACCCTTCTTGAAAGGTTTTAGGAGGCAGGGCTGTGTCGTTGCTGATGCACTCACCACACCTGGTTGGTGTACTCGAATAGCACAAAGAACAGAAAGTGTCCAGGAAAACGGAACTGCCCAGATCGGGGGGGGGGGGGGGGCTATCTCCAGAAACTTGGCAAGTGCCTGAAAATATTTGTCGGCGCCTGCGCGTTGAGTTGCTGCACCTCTTCCTTTGCCTGCGGAGCTCGATGGGCGATGGACTTTAGGGTGAAGGATTTATGGTTTAGGGTTGTCACTTTTTTGGGTTTAAGCTGAAAGGTTTAGGGTGAGCCGTATCGGTTAAGGGTTTCGGGTTGAACCCTAAACCCTATAAACCCTAAGCCCTAAACCCTGAACCCTAAACCCTAAACCCTAAACCCAGGGTTTAGGGGGTTCAGGGCTTGGAGGTCTCATCAGCTACTACTTCGGGGGTGGCCGGGGAGTTTGCAGGATGTTTTGCCGCAAGCCCTAGACTGCAACCCAAGGCCCCAAACCCTGGGCCCTTAACCCTACCAAGAAGCCCTTTTGACTGAGTAAGCAGGGTTAGTAAGTTGGGTCATGGGAATCATTCAAGGGTTTCTCGGGGATGCCAGTAGCCTTGCCAAAAGGGCTTCCAAGCAACCCAAAACCCTAAACCCTAAACCCTAAACCCTAAACCCTAGACCCTAGACCCTAAACCCTAAACCCTAAACCCTAAACCCTAAACCCAAAACCCTAAACCCTGAGACCCTTGGCACCCCAGGGACACCTTCTGGCTGCGCTGCATGGCCGCAAGAGCCTGACACAGTGGATCTCTAGAGGACAAGGACCCTGACCCTAGGGCTCTAGGGTTTAGGGTTTAGGGTTTCGGGTTTAGGGTTTACATAGGATACCTACAATTGGGGTCCAAAGTCTGTAAATAATGCCTACTTGCGGCTTGGTGGAGCCTTAGGGTATGGGTGTTGGGGATCCGCTTAACAGATCCTCTAAGTAGTATAGGGCCCATATTAGGAGTAGATTGAGGAGAGCCCCTCAAGGTACAACCTTGAGGGTACGAGTCTTAAGCCCTTGATGATCTAAATTCGGGCGCGTACGCCTTGCGCTCTGCTCGCACCATCCCTAGAACCCTCAACCCTTAATCCTAACCCCAAAACACCCTAACCATCCCTGCAACCCTAAATCCTAAATCCTAAACCCAAGACACCCTAACCCTTTAAGCTCTACACCAATGCACCCTAAACCATTTCAACTCTGGACCCTAATCCTCCCTGAAGCCTCAACCCCTAAACTCTAAACCCTAAACCCCAGGGGGAAGAGGACGAAGCCCCAAAAATCTTTCCCGACTGCAGATAATTACTGTAATAGCCCTAAACCCTAAAGCCAAAAAAAAGCCTAAAGCCTGAAGCCTAAACCCTAAACCCTAACCCCTAAACCCTGAACCCTGAACCCTAGCCCCTGAACCCTAAACCCTAAACCCTAAACCCTGAAACCCTAAAACCCTAAAACCCTAAAACCCTAAACCCTAAACCCTAAACCTTAAACCCTAAACCCTAAACCCTAAACCCTAAACCCCAGGCCTTCTGCTTCCAGGCCTCTGCGGAGGCCTCGCCGCACTCTTCGTCCGCCATCACCTTTGAGGGAGTCATGAGACGTTCAGGGTGTTTAGGGTTTAGGGTTTAGGGTTTAGGGTTTATTAAGCTGTCTAGGAGTGAGGGCTTTAAGGTCACCAAGGGTCCCTGATGGCTTTCTGACGGAGGTTGTTAGTGTAGGTCTACCCCAACATATGCACTCACTGCAGCTTATAAGGAACATACGTTGGGATATTCTGCAGTCCTTCTAGGGATTGTAGTTGGGGGGGGGGGGGGGGTCTCCAATCCCGATTCAGGACTGTTAGTATAAGGGGGAACGTCGCAAATAAGGAAGCAAACATATGGTCAAAATTAAGGAGTGAAGGCTTTGGGGTTGAGGGGCGGCATGTTGAACCGATGTTGCTTCACGTAGCCTGGTGCTCAGCAAATATCTGGTTTGGTCAGGATTGTAGCCCAAAGGCGTCAAGGCCCGGAATCCCGTAAACCTGAACCCAGCACCCCGAAGATCAAGATGAACCTTCAAGTACCCTAAGCCCTGGACCCTAAACTCTACACCCTAAACCCTAAGCTCTCAACCCCAAACCCTGGACCCCACCCCCACTCCCCACCCCCTCCCCACCCCCTCCCCACCCCCTCCCCAACCCCTCCCCAACCCCTCCCCAATCCCCCCCCCCCCAAAAAAAAAGAAGAAAACCCCTAAACCCTAAACCCTAAACCCTAAAGAAACTCAATCCGCGAACCAGCTCGGGATCTTCCTCCGCAAGCAAAGGCTCCTGAGGGCTTAGGGGGCTTCGGGAATTTATCGCTTTTAGGGTTTAGGGTTTAGGGCGATTTTACCGTCTTGGCTTTTCAGGCTTTAGGATTTGATTAGGGGATTTTGGGGCTGTAGGGTTTTGAGTTTCCCTTGACAGGGTTTATGCTTGGAGGTTCAGGGCACTTATTTCCAGTTTGTAAGAGTAGTTACCCACTTGTAAGCCCCTGAAGTACCCTAGTGGGGATCCAATTGGGTTATAACTACAGTTGCAATTGGGCTACGAAGTACCACGAACCTCCAAGTAACCCGAAGTACCACGAACCTCCAAGTAACCCCAAACCCTAAACCCTACACCCTACACCCTCAACTCAACACCTGGGCCGAAGTACCATGCACCTTCAGGTAGGGCCCTTAAACCCTAAACCCTGAACCCTAAACCCTAAACCCTAAACCCTACAGTGTAGGGCCTACACCCTAAACCCTAAACCCTAAACCCTAAACCCGTTCTGGGTGTTGAGCTCGCGGTGCATTTTTGGAATCAGGAATCGTTCAACTGGCCCTCTTGGAGATGTGGGTATACTGGGTATACTGTAAACCCTGAACTTGAAACCCCGAAGCCCTAAACTCCAAACCCTAAACCCTAAACCCCAAAACCGCCCTAAACTCTGAACCTAAAGCCTGCTTTCGGGGCCCTGGGATTTTAACCCCGGAGCTCGTAAGACCGACGTAGCAGCTTTGGATGAGGTTTAGGGCGCTGAGGGTTACTCAGACAGGCGTCTGCTCTTAGGCGGGGGGGCCTACTTTGAGAGATAGAAGTAAAAATTTTAAGGTTTAGGGTTTAGGGTGGGCCTAGAGATAGCGTTTAGGGTTAGGGTTTATAAGGTTTAGGGTACACGAACTTTACCTGTGTCTAGTAAGAACTTTAACCCTCAACCGCGCAGCATTCACACACGCACCGCGCACCTTGAGAGCCTCGCCGGCCTTCTTTGGCTTCCGGGTCACCTGAGGGGTTTTGACGCCTTAACCCGAAACCCTAAACCCTAAACCCTAAACCCTAAACCCTAAACCCTAAACCCTAAACCCTAAACCCTAAACCCTAAACCCTAAACACTGGAACCGAACCGGGTTCGGGTTTCGGGGTTTGGGGGTGTAGCCCGCCCGAACCAAGAACCCCACACCCCTACACAGATGTTCATGGCTACTTCTAACTGGGGTTCAGGATTCTAGGGTCCCTAAACCCTAAACCCTAAACCCTAAACCCTAAACCCTAAACCCTAAACCCTAAACCCTAAACCCTAAACCCTAAACCCTAAACCCTGTTGTATGGAGGACAAGGATCCTTGGCAACAAGATATCACGTCTCTTGGGAGTCCTATCATCCTACACCTTCAAGGGGGGTCACAACCTTAAACAACAAACCATCTTGACTTTACGAACACGAAGGGTTCTAGGGGGTACTCTAATCCCTATTAAGGACTGTTAGTATAAAGGGGAACATCCTATAAGGGATCGGGCCCAAAAAACCTGCCACGCGCGTGCGGGCTGACGATAGGCCTACAACTCAAATAGACTCAAATCGACCCTAGACCCTACTCCCTAAACCCTAAACCCTAAACCCTAAACCCTAAACCCTAAACCCTAAACCCTACCCTAGACCCTACTTGGGACCCCTCTTCACCTACAGGTTTATGGGTTGTACCTACTAATTGAGGGGTAGTTGCTACTAAGCTGGCAATAAGAAAGGCTAAAACTTCTTCATTCCCGCGACAGATGGAAGCAAAACAAGTTTAAAAGCCCTAAGCCCCAAACCCTGTCGAAACCTTACACCCTAACAATTGGCTAAGTCAGTCATGTCGGCACTTTCAGGGTTAAGGCTGGGTTTGGGTGCCCTGCAGAAAAAGCAAGTTCTAATGGGTTCCGAGGGCTTCTAAATAACTGGGTGCCCATGAAACTACTGAACCCTGAACCCTAAACCTTAATCCTTACACCCTAAACCCTAAACCCTAAACCCTAAACCCTGAACCCTAAACCCTAATCCTTACACCCTAGGGTTGGGGCTTACTCGACTGACTTACGACTTTGGGTCCGGCGGCGGATGCTTCAGCGTCTCACTAGGTTACGCAGCGTCAGGGATTACGACTTAAGGGCTCTTGCCTGTTTCAGCTTGAGGGCTGCTTTAGGGTTTAGGGTTTAGGGTTTAGGGTTTAGGGTTTAGGGTTTAGGGTTTAGGGTTTAGGGTTTAGGGTTTAGGGTTTAGGGTTTAGGGTTTAGGGTTTAGGGTTCAGTGTATGCAGGGTTTTCGGGTCAAGACGTTCAGCACAGGTAAGGCCTAGGGTCGATAAATCAAACCTATGCCTCTAAAACCCTAAACCGCGAAGCCCCAAGCACGAAAACCCAAGCCTTAAACCCCACACCCACCCAAGCCCACCCGGAACCCTGAACCCTAAACCCTGAACCCTAAACCCTGAACCCTAAAACCTAAACCCTATACCGTGAACCCTCAACCCTTAACCCTAAACCCTAAACCCGAAGGAGGCGAGGCGCCAGGCAGGTGAGCAATGCGATCACGCCAACCAAAGCGCCGCCAATGGCCATATCCTGTGGGGACGGCTGGGGGTTTTAGGGTTTAGGGTTTAGGGTTTAGGGTTTAGGGTTTAGGGTTTAGGGTTTAGGGTTTAGGGTTTAGGGTTTAGGGTTTAGGTGGCAGTTTGGGATTTTGGGGGGTTTCCGAAAGGCTGCGGGTCCTCGAAACGTTGGTGGGAACTCCCAGGCACGGAGCTCACGGCCTCGGTGGGTGTCGCGGGGGCTAGGGTTTAGGGTTTAGGGTTTAGGGTTTAGGGTTTAGGGTTTAGGGTTTAGGGTTTAGGGTTTCGGGTTTAGGGTTTAGGGTTTAGGGTTTAGGGTTTAGGGTTTCGGGTTTAGAGTTTTCGGGTTTTCGGGCTAGAGCTTTGCTGGGTTAGCCTTTAAACCCTTTGACACATATTTATGTACAGGGTCCCTGAAAAACCCAGATAAGGAAAATCTAATGTCCCAGAAGCCAACCTACTTTAGGGTTTTTGGGTTAGTAGGGCTTTTGCCTTTGGGGCTTCGGGTTTAGGTTTAAGGGTTTAAGGGTTTCACGGTTTAAGGGTTTAAACCCCGGGGTTTAAGGGTTTAAGGGTTAAAGGTTTAAGGGTTTAAGGGTTTTGAAGTTCAGGGTTGTAGGGCGTTAGCCTTTGGGGTTTTAGGGTTATAAGGGTTAAGGTCGAGTGGGCTCCTCGGAAGAGACCCAAAACCACTCTATTACACGGGCATCAACCTATCTACTGGTGCTTATATACACTTCAAGGGATTTGATAGGGTACCTAATTCCATCATTCCCTAGTAAGAACCGGTAAGTTTGTTGGGATTCGGCAGGCCCGGAATCAGTATTCAGCTTCAACGGAGGCTTGCACAGCCACCCGATCATGTTTACGAGGGCTCTGCTGAGATGTAGATGCAATATGGGCGAAAGCTTCTTGGAAAACAGTCACCATCCCTCAACCATAGGCTGTGCCCTCAACCCTCAACCCTGGACCCTGAACAGTTAAAGGCCCAAGCGAAAGCACACGATCTAAAACAACCCTGAAACCTTTCGACCTACCATCCCTAATCGCTAGACTCCACCGACCCGAAACCTCAGACCCTGAACTCCCATAACATCAGACCCCGAAATCCCTAGAACCGCAAAACCCTAAATTCCTAACCCTGAACCCGGAACCCTAAACCCTAACCCGAAACCCTAAACCCTAAACCCTAAACCCCAAACCCTAAACCCTAAACCCCAAACCCCAAACCCCAAGCCGCAGCCCTAATCCCTACAAACCGGCCTCCAACTGCATGCGGCGCAGCTTCTCATGCGCAGCCTAGGGCCAGCTGTGAGGCGCTAGGGATTTAGGGTTTAGGGTCTATAGGGTTTAGGGTTTAGGGTTTAGGGTTTAGGGTTTGGGGTTTGGGGTTTAGGGTTTCGGGTCTACAGGGTTTAGGGTTTAGGGTTTAGGGTTTAGGGTTTGGGGTTTGGGGTTTAGGGTTTAGGGTTTAGGGTTTAGGGTTTAGAAGAGAAGGAAGCGAACCGTGGAGCCGGAACCGTCAAAACCGGAACCTGTGAACCGAGTGGTAAAACCGGAACCCGTCGAACCGAACCGAAATAGAAACCGAACCGAAAACGGTACCAATTCCCCGGGGTTCAGGGTCAGGGTTCTCTTCGCATCTCTGCTCTTCATTATTTTTCGCTGGCGTTCTCTGCTCTTCGCTTCGCTCTTTGCTCTTCTTTCCTGGTCCTTGCTTTTCTCTGTTTTTATTTGTTGTTGTCTCGTCTTCCCCTCCTCTTCTCTTTCCTCCTCCTCTGATGTCCCAAAATCGCCCTCACACAATGTGCTAGGAATTTTCGGTTCTGTCGGCCCTCCTCTTAAGGCCTTGAAGGGGTCCCAAACCCCCCAAAATCGCCCTAGCACAATGTGTTAGGGTTTAGGGTTTAGGGTTTAGGGTTTAGGGTTTAAGGTTTAGGGTTTCTCTTATGCCCTTAGCCCTGAACCCCTATAAGACGCCCCACACCCTCGGCAGGTGCCTTTTCGCGCAGGTGGTACAGGGTGGCCTCTTGCTCGGCCCGTGCTGCTGCGGCACCTTCGATCCTGAGTTGAGGGTTTAGGGCCGTTTAGGGTTTAGGGTTTCGGGTTTCGGGTTTAGGGTTTAGGCTTCCTGGGGGTGTGGGGATCTTGGGGCTTCGGTTTCGGGTGCATGGTGTACGGCTTTGCGGCTTAAGGTTTTCCGGTTGTGGTGCTTTCGGGATTCGGCTTAGAGCCTTAGGGGTGTGTGGAACCGTAAACCCTGAACCCTAAACCCTACACCCCTTCATCCCTAGAGGGCTTTTGTCGGGCTTGAGGTAAAGGATTTGTGAGTCAACAAGCCTAAGCCTTCGGGGTGTAGGAGGGATTGAGACTTGAAGCTCTACAGCGCGAACCCTCCAGAATTTTCGGGCTTAGGATTTAGGGCTTCGGGTTTCGGGTTTAGGGTTCAGGATTTAGGGCTTCGGGTTTCGAGTTCAGGGTTTAGGGAGCCGAAAAGGGATGGAGATGGAGACTGGCAGGCCAAGGATCTCTGCCGCGCGCTTGGCTTGCTCTCGCCGCTCCGGATCCACCTGACACTGTTGGCGAGCTGGGCTTCGAGGGGTTTAGGGTTAAGGTTTTTGGGGTTTGGGGTTTCGGGTTTAGGGTTTAGGGTTTAGGGTTTAGGGTTTTAGGGTTTAGGGTTTAGGGCTTAGGGCTAAGGGCTTAGGGCTTAGGGCTTAGGGCTTAGGGTTAGGGTCTATACTCGGAGGTTCAGGGTACTTATAACCGCATTCTAAGTGTAGTTCTAACCCACTTCTAAGACCCTTAAGTACCCCGACGGGGTGATCATTGGGTTATAAGTAGCAGGGCTGCGAGGCTTTAGGGCCTTTAGGGCCCTATAGGATTTTGGGGTCAAGGGTTAAGGGATGAGGGCTGGAGGATTAGGGTGTAGGGCTTAGGGTTTTTGGGGCTTTCAGTCTTGGGGGCTTCGGGGTTTGGATGTTTCAGGGCTTGGCCCAACTTAGGCGTGCGGGGTTTAGACCACGACTTGAGGAGTTGACTAAACCCTCAACCCTCAACCCTCAACCCTCAACCCTCAACCCTCAACCCTCAATCCTAAACCCTAAACCCTAAACCCTAAACCCTAAACCCTAAACCCTAAACCCTAAACCTGAACCGGGAAAGTGGGGAGGGTTTATAGGTGGATCGGGGAGCAGGAAGCCTATGTCCTGATACGGAAAGTGTATTAGCTGCAGGCTTACCCCAAGCACGAAACTAAACCTAAAACCCCAACAGAGTCGAGAACTTAAGGGGATTATACGTTAGTTACAACTACACATCCACTTGGGTTATAAGTACCCTGAACCTCCCCTCAGACCCTTAAACCCCAAACCCAAAATCCTAAACCCCAAACCCTAAACCCTGAACCCCCCAAACCATACAACCTAAACCCTAAACCCTAAACAACCTTTCTTAGGCCTGTGGATTCCGCTCCGCACGTTGCGCGGATTCGGCACGAGCTTCGTGAATCTTCTCCTGTCAGAGTTGTCCGAAAGCATCTCCATGGGTTTAGGGTTTAGGGTTTAGGGTTTAGGGTTTAGGGTTTGGGGTTTAGGGTTTAGGGTTTAGGGTTTAGGATTTAGGGTTTAGGGTTTAGGGTTTCGGGCTTAGAGTTCAGGGCTTTAGGGTTTCGGGGTTTTAGGGTTTAGGGTCTATACTTGGAGGTGCAGGGTACTTAGTAGCCCAACTACTACAAGTTTAGGTATGACCCACCTATGAGCCCCTTAAGTACCCCAATAGGGTTATATTGTTATATTTGGGTTATAAGCGCAGGTATAATTGAGATACTAAGTACCATGAACCTCCAAGTAGGGTCAGGGAGACGTACACACGGATTCGCCACCGAGAAGGCTGCAGACTCCAGCATCTTACTTCTTTAGGGGGGCTTAGATCCCTCCTTGGGATGTTCCCCCTTTGTACTAACAATCCTTTCATCGGGATTATAGTACGTACCCCCCACTATAACCTCTAGTATAAGGGGGAACATCCCAAGCCTTAAAGGTCGTTGTCCCCAAGCAAAGGGTCCATATACCCCTCCAGTAGATGGGGTCCAGGCAGTACTCACTTGGAAGGGCCCCGACAAGCAGTCCCCTCTTTGGGATTTCCTAGTGTGAGTTTACGGGTCATGAACGTCATAATAGAGTCATAAATGTATACATAATATGCAACTGCATACACTTTGAAACGTTGATGCACGTGTGCACATGCAGACAGAGACAGAGCGAAATTCACAAAGATACACACACACACACAGAGACACACGTAGAGAGACGCATGCAAACACACAGACAGACACAGACACAGACACGGACACGGACACGGACACGGACACGGACACGGACACGGACACGGACACGGACACGGACACGGACACGGACACGGACACGGACACGGACACGGACACGCACGCACCCACCCACACACGCACCCAGACACACACACACACAACACACAACACACAACACACAACACACAACACACAACACACAACACACAACACACAACACACAACACACAACACACAACACACAACACACAACACACAAAACACAACACACAACACACAACACACAACAACACACAACACAACAACACACAACACACAACACACAACACACAACACACACACACACAACACACAACACACAACACACAACACACAACACAACACACAACACACAACACACAACACACAACACACAACACACAACACACAACACACAACACACACAACACACACAACACACAACACACAACACACACAACACACAACAACCACACACACACACAACACACAACACAACACACACACACACACACACACAACACACCCACAACACACAAACAACACACAACACAAACCCACAACACACACACACAACACACACCACACAACCCAACACAACAACACACACACAACACACACACACACAACACAACACAACACACACACAACACACAACACACAACACAACAACACACAACACACAACACACAACACACAACACACAACACACACACACACACACACACACAACACACACACACAACACAACACAACACAACACAACACAACACAACACAACACAACACAACACAACACAACACAACACAACACAACACAACACAACACAACACAACACAACACACACAACACAACACAACACAACACAACACAACACAACACAACACAACACACACACACACACACACACACACACACACGGACACAACAACCCCCATGCCGAAACCTGAACACTAAAGCCACCTGTCAAAAACTCCCAAGCTCCCAAACCCTAGGCCATGAACTCCAAACCCTAAACCCTAAACCCTACCCCTGAACCCCTCCCCCCCCCCCCCCCCCCACAAAAAAGAAACAAGAGCAAAAACAAAAACTAAGACAGCCCCCGAAACTGCTAAACCACACACTCCGAAAGCCTCGGACTCTGCCGCAGCTGCACTCTCCTTGGCACATTCTATGGGGTCAAGTCGGGTTTGGGGTTTAGGGTTTGGGGTTGAGGTTTGAGGGTTGAGGGTTGAGGGTTTAGGGTTTAGGGTTTGGGGCCAACTCACCAAAGTCCTCTGGAAACTCCCCGGCGGGCCGGCGAGGTAGAAAGTCAGGTGCACGATCGGAGTATTTCCCCAAATAGGGGTACCCCATTTATACCCCAAATAGAATGGAATCCCCTTAAAGGAACCCCCCCAAGAAGGGTTTAGGGTTTAGGGTTTAGGGTTTAGGGTTTAGGGTTTAGGGTTTAGGGTTTAGGGTTTAGGGTTTAGGGTTTAGGGTTTAGGGTTTAGGGGTTACCTACTCTACTACTAGGCCTATTTCAGCATACGAAGGCCAGGTTTGATGAGCTACTCTCAGAGAGAAGTACCGACCTGACCTT